GCCTGCAACTCCCCAAGAAGCTGGGGACGCCTCTCAAGGTGCTACGAGCCGCTCGCCTGCCCTCGCTCGCCACGCCACGCTGGTCATTGATGTCGAGGAGCTCCACGTCAAAGATCAGCGCGGCGTTGGGCGGGATGAAGCCCGTGCCAGAGGCGTTGCCGCGCTGATCGCACCCTTTGCGCCCGTAGGCTGCCTCAGCGCTGATGCTCAGCGTGGCGCGCTGGCCTAGGCTCATGGAGGCGACGCCGAGCTCCCAGCCCCGAATCACCGTCCCTGCCCCTAGCGTGAAGGAGAAGGGCGCGCGCTCGCGTGAGTTGTCGAAGACCTCGTCCGACTTGGCGAGCCGGCCGGTGTAGTGCACTGTCAGCGCATCGCCGTGGCTCGGGTAGGTCTTGCCGTCTCCCTCCGTTGTTGTCTCGACGCGCACTGGAGGGTCCGCCTCTGGCTGCTTCTTGCCCATCACCCGCGTCGTCGTGTCGCACCTCTTGTTTTCTTTTATATGCCACTCCGCACGAATCGTTCGCTGATTTTTTTCCAATATTTTGATACCCTTCACGACCGGACACGACCCCTTCTTCAGACCTCTCGGAATCTCATACGAGAACTGTCAGGAGACGGAACACGGAGGAGCTGTATAGGTCACTAGAGACCCACACCATCGCTACATCACCACAACCACCAAGTCGGATACAAGTCGATGACAATGTGCGCGGCAGGAGAAACCCAACAGCATGACAATGTGCGCGGCAGGACAAACCAAACATGAGACACGGTTACACAAGGACGGTCAGGCTACGGTCAGGAAGTAGGTTTGAGCTGAGGGAGGGTGTAGAGGATGTAGAGTGTAGAGCGCTGTAGAGCTGTAGAGCTGGAGAGTGCTGTAGAGCTGTAGAGCTCTACATCCACCGCGTGACGAGGCGGGTGCGTTGTAGAGCGATGTAGAGGCGCTCTACAACGTGAAATCTCTACAACAAACTCTACATCATAAGCGGCGAACGAGGCACGGTCGCTCTCCGACATGAGGCGCGTTGCACTTGCCAGTGCTGCCCTGGCCTTCTGTCTGCCCGCCCAATGGGTGGCAGATGCCTCTGCTGCTGTGGCATGCCTCACGGCTGCGACTGGCCGGCGCCTCGGCGCGTCAGCTCGGCTTGGCGTAGCGATCGTGGCCAGCGCAACTCGCCTGGACTCAACGCTCAGCCAGGAGCTCCCGCACGCGCTGGCGCGAGTCATGGCGCATGCAACGCGTCTGAATGCTCGCCTCGCCTCGCGCAAATGCGACCGTCCTCGCAGCCGATAGTCCACCGCCTGCTAAAGAAGCACAGCGACGAATGCGGCACCGGCGACGCATGGCAGGCTGGTCATGACGCAGTTATAGGGTGCTGTGTGCCGTCAGAGTGACCGTCTCTGTGTGTCAGGATAGTCAGGGCCGTCCATCAGAGCTCCAGTAAGCTC